GAACAACTTTACATAACGTTAGATATCTAACTTGGTGGAGCTCATTCACTAAACTCTAACGCTCCTCTCTCCGCTGTGTGGACGCTTCATGTCGGTTCAAAAACCCTGTCGCTCCCGTTAGCATCGCCATTACTGCTGGTATCTTGCCTGGAGGTTAGCGGAGCTAAGCTAACCAGCCAGGTACAGAGACAATGATACCTGCTCATCACTACTGACACGTAAATAAAATACAGTACATTACGCACCACAGACACTGCAGAACAGACGTCTTCAGCTTCACCGTCAGGACAATCAGCCGAACAACAAATGATAATATTCATCCGACATGTGAGTGAAAACTCCTCCACAGGTTAGCTAACAGGCTAATCCCCGTCACCGAACATGAGCGGAGTGCTCATGTTCGGTGACGGGGATTAGCCTGTTAGCTCAGGTGAAGCCGAGCAGACCACAGGCCAGAGTGACGAGCTAACGGTGACGTCACGTGTCAATCAAGAGATAATTATTCACAATTTCAAACCTCTATATTATCTAAACGAGCCAGTTAGAAAAAAATTCACCCCCCCAGAGTTGTCATGGAGGAAGAACTTACTGATTGAGACTAAAACCGTTTTTTGAACCAGGCTGTAAACACGTTTAATTCTGCTCTAAAGTCGGGCTTTTTAACATGGGAGTCGATGGGAAGTGACTCCCTCTTGGAGCCAGCCTCAAGTGGCCACCCAGTGAACTGCAGTTTTTTGCACTTCCGCATTGGCCTCAGTGCTCAGCCCGGGATGTTGCCGCTTGTGTAAAACCAAATTTATTGTACCAATAAACACTTGAACATTCATCAGTGTGATAATAACTACTCAAAGTCACAGCATCCAGCTTTAAGAAAATATTATATAACATGTACCTTGACCTTTTACTCTTGCCCATGTGCCATCCTTTAACACATGGGGTCACAATTTATGAGCTATACTGCAGCCAGCCACCAGGCCTTTTTCCTTCCAGGGGCTTTTTATAAAAACATCTTTTCAGACCAAACTTAATATCAAATACATACTGTGTGGCATGATAACCTCTACAGTCCGTTGGCTGTATCAGTTTCTTTTTTGAGGGTCCTTCTGATGTCAGATGATGGTAATGATTATCATGATGCTACTGGCAGCTGATTTACAGAGTTTCGGTCAGTCATGCTTGAGCAAACTGAAACAAAAACATGTCATCCTTAGCAGCTTTTATGATTTCATTTTGTGGATTACCTGGCAGAATAGCTGGTTCTGCTTCACTGTCTTTTGTTTACTCTTCATGTCCTGAAACCTCTCACCAAATACCTGAAGGAGTTTTGCAACCACACCCTGCATATTCATATGTCCTCTTTCAGTTGCACTTGCCAGAATTTTAATCTTGCATCCAATGAGTGAAGCGGAACTTAAACTGAAGCAGAACTAAAGCTGTGGCTTAAGTTCCACTTCACATTTTAAAGCAGAAGTTTGTTGGAGCTTGGCTCTGTAAACTAAGTTGTTGTTTTAACCCTCTGCTTTTCATGTAATTATGCTTATATAAAGTGACAAATGACATTTGTAGAGCATCCGTGGCGTGGGCTCCATCTGAACTAAGGTCACTTGTCTGTTCAAGTGGAAGCTCAAACAACAAGCTCAAACAAACCTCACCTGTAGAAGCAGTATGTATGGTCTGCAAAGACAGTAATTCAAACTTGGCAGTTCTCTCATTGTTTGTTGCCCAGGTACTTGGCGTTTTTTACGTAATTGACTCTGACAGTTCCTTATACAAGATATTTTGCACTCATATTCATACTCATGAATCATTTTTATTTATATTACTTTACATTCTCTAATGTTCAGAGAAACACATATAATGATCATTGCTGCTGCTCCTCTTTTCAGCTTCTCTCTGAAACACTTGGTTTGAGCTCCTGTCTCTTTAAGGACCCCGCTGGCCCATTCTGTTGTAAATGGTCAACCACTCACATCACATGTACTAAACAACATTATGCAAATGTTGACATATATCAGAAATATTGACCAGGTTACTGACGGACATTTCAGAAATGTCAGTATTTTCTGTGAAGGAGAGTTGCTCCCTTTCCCAGAATCTTTGGGCTTTTTGAAGCTTTTGAGCTTTTGAAAAATGTTTCCATTCACAAATAAAAAATGGAAAGCGGGGAAGAGAAGAGAGAGATGAGGTGGAGAGAGAGAGACCGGGAACAATTGGGCACCATCAGTATCAGGGATGACTATAACAATAACAATGTAGTGATCTACAACAGGATTATATATATTAATGAATTACTGAGTTATTTTAATTAATGATAACAATGGTGATGGTAGTCGTTGTTGTCCTGCAGTCCCGGTGCCGGAGTTATCTGAAACGAGATAGAGAGAAGAGCCAGAGGGACTATGGGAGGACAAAGTGACACTTTGACATGATGACATGTTAAAATAAA